GACCGCTGACCTTGATGTCCACCTCACTGTTGACCACCAGTGACCATAAGCTAGTCATTGTTGATCATCGACCCATTAAAACCACTACGAAGATTAAAGCCTTCTTACGAGGATTCCCTTACAATTTGATGCATGATCTTTTTAACATTTTGTTCCACTTTGGAAGAGTGTATCTCGATAATTTTTGTCTTTTTGTACGTCAGTTCGAACAATTGCCATACTGAGCGAAAAATTCGGAGGTGATTTCAGCGTCCTCTTCTCATGGATGGCGGTCAGTTGAGAAATTATTCACTGAATTAGTATTAATAGGCAAACAGCTGTAGTTTTGCGTAAATCCATGTGAGTTGACTACGAAAGGGATTAAAATTCATTTCTGAATCTGTTGGTAACGTTGCGAGTGACACAAAAATGGTAATGGGGTCCCGGGACCCCAGAAACTCGGGCCGTAAAATTACATTAGGTGAAAGGTCTATTCATATACCTCGTCTGTGCTGACACCACAGACGAAATATACGAGTAGACCTTTCACCTTATCGATTTTCGTAGCCCAATCTGACTGCCATACCGACCTCAAAACTCGGAGATGATTATAGCGCCCTCTCCTCATGAATGGCGGTCAGTTGAGAAACTATTTACCGAATTAGTATTGATGGTCAGGCAGCTGTAGCTGTAGGTAAATACATGTGAATTGACTATGGAAGAAATTAAAAAACATAATTTTCAAACAACCATAACTCCTACCATAGTGAATGTATTTTATCGAAATTTATTTATGAAATATCTCATGGATATCTACAAAAAAAGTATTAAACAACATCTCCGTAGACCGCCAAACAAACTAATTAAAAATCAAAAACGAATTTTTAAGAAAAATGGACAAGGGGTAGGTTTAAATTTTTCGACGAAAAAAAAATATTTCAAATCGTTCTGAAAAAATTATTTTTAGTTGCGGGGGTCGATTACAATCATTTTTGGTGAACAGATATATCCCCGAAATCCTACGCACTTTCGAGAAAAAAATTCCTTACAGAAAATATAATGTCTGACCATACATTGATATGTTTCCCTGAAATTTCATTCGTATGTTTAAAACATCATAACTGCTGAACGAATTGAAAGATTTTAATGTTTCAAAAAGAGCCACGATGCTCTGGAAGTAATTTTATATTACGTACAAATAATTATTTAATTTATAAACATTATATCGCCAAGTTTCATAGTTAGAGTTGTAAGCATTACTTTATCGAATGTTACAATATCCCGTAATTTTTATAAATATCCCGAAATTTCCAAAAATTACAGTTCGTTGGTTATTTATGCTTCGATAGCATATTCCAACTAGGCAGCTTCCACATTTTGGCCACGAATCTTCATAAGGTGTAAGGTCTGCTCGTATACCTTGTCCGTGTTGAAGCTATCGCGTTGAAAGGAAAAGAACCCATTCGAATGCAAATGGGATGTGATCCGTTGAAGTGTGAGACAAGTTCTTAATGTAATTCAAGCTGGTTATTATGTATACAGAAAGATATATGATAAATAACTTTTCTGTAATATGTAATTAAGCACTCTAGACGTTCCTACGAAGACAAGAAAACCGAGGTTACTGGTAAAAGGTAAACCATTATCTGGTTTTCACTGTTTTTACCAATCGGATCGGCTATTGTACAATACACTGTCAACGATTGCCACAAGACAACATACGTGATACGCAATCTAATGCAAATTTCTCACAGGCAAGCACATTCCGCTCCTCGCTCGTTGATGTAATTCGACAATAATTTCAATTCTAATGCCATCGAAAGAAATTACTAAAAACTATACCAGTTGCTTCAATTATGCAATTGCATATTGCAATCACTCTTCTTTTTTCGCGACGATCGCTACTTCTTTTATGCTCGAACGTATTGCTTCGATTCCAGGGAACTTCTAATGTCGCGCAAGAAGTATCAGAAAAACGTGGACGATATGCAACATAGTGTATTTATGCGCCGTTGCATTAGTTTTTGCACAGAAATTAACTCATTGATCAATCGGCGCGTTAGAAATACGATTGCGGGAACGATCGTCGACACGAGTGTCTAAAACGGTTGTCTTATAGTAGCGAAGTAACGCTCGCAAGGTGAAATCGATTAAAAGGTGACATTAATCGAGTTACCTCGTGCAATGGGTGTCTAATCGATCGTAGACTTTCGATTTATTACGAAAGCCTTTCGACCACTCGCGTCTACGAGTTTGTAGTACGTCATTCGACGTAGACCAAACGATACGTTCGCGTGCATCGACGTTGGGAGACTGCACTTATGATAACGTTCGATTTCAAGGACGCGAATACGCTCGTACCGATCCTCGTGCAACCGGTTTCTATGAATTCTGCCGATAGTCTCGCAAAAGACGAGCAACTTTCACGCGCGGCTAGTTCAAGGAAGACTGAAATCAATACACCGCCGATTTTATGCAAATTCACTTTCGTTACGCTGTTAACACTCTGTCGAGCGCTTGCTTCTCGCAAACTCCAGTCAATAACACATATTGAGATTACCAAAATATTCAGTAATAATTTCCATGATTATCGTTGCATCAACTATGAAAGTTACGAACCTGGAAGTGAAGCTCGGTTGCCACGACTTTTGTAAAAAAAAAGAACCATAAACAGCAACCGAACGCAGCGATGCGATGAGCTGCGGAAGCGATAAAAATGGCTTGTCAATTTCACCGAGCTGATGAAAAAGAAGCCGGGGTGTTGGCTGGAAGGCTCATTTTATGGATCAGAAGTAGTTAAAGAGCAAGAAAACAAAATAAGGAACAATATTTTTTAAGTAAACCGGTAGGAAATCTAAAAAATTACTTGTTCGATCGATCTGAAATTTTCACAAAATATTTATGTGTACGTACTGTCTGGATTATTATGTATCGTGTTGTCTGCGTTCGATCTTTCTTATTGCAGACGCAAATAACATCTCGAGACTGCAGCCAGTCTTATTGCCACTCTCTAAAAGCGTTGAAAAAGCAAAAGAAGAAGCACGAGGCGAAGAGTTCGATAAGCTACTACGTAAGGTTTTTATGTAATCGTTCAACACATGTACAATCGTCTCAGAAAAATTGGACTCGTATGGAAAGCGCTAATAGTATTTAATAGTATAATATTATTTAAATAAGGAAATTCTGGAAACAGTCCCAAAAAATCTGTCACCATAGGACAAAATGTTAGAAAATGGTAAAATCACGTAACGAGTTATCCAACGCTCATTTTCTTTCGTACGATATCCAGAGACATTTCTTTTGCAAGTCGTCGCGGTATCGAGAACTTTCACGGTTCGAAAAGTTGGTTGATCATTACGAAATCAGATGATATTTGCGCAACCGTGGCGCCGTTCCATCGATTGGCGGTCATCCGATCGAACGACGATTTTCTAGCTCATGGTTTTCCCAATTTCATCCTTCTACAGATCTCCAAGAGGTCTACGAACTCTGGTTTGAGAAACGCTGCTCCGATCGTGTATCAACGCCGGAAGAATAGCATTACGACGATTTATTAGATGGATCATTAACATTCTTCAAGGTCGCGATCGTTTTGCATTCGACGTACGCGACAGCTGGAGATACGGTTCGCGTGTGGGCGTATCTCACCGTTATGCGCGTCTTAATTAATTGCGAGCATCGTAGCAGACCACATTTTTAATTCGAATAAACGACAGAACAAAAATTTCTATGCAATCGATAAGCAGACGATAGAGCGAACGCGTATCGTCGATTCAATTTGCGAGAAACAAACGTGAGAACGGAAACGAGGGGCCTAAGGTGCCGCGAATTAGACTTCATTGTTGTCGAAGAAACGACGGGAAGAAGAGCTATCGTAAAAAGGAAGCTTACGCGTAATGAGGCGAATCGGATCGACGATTATGAAAGACGGGATCGTTTACCGTTTCTTGCAACAGACGCGTTGAAAATTTCAAAAGCGATTGCCCCACTTTATATTCCTCGTTTTATCGTGCGCATATTTACGCCATTTTTGTGTCACACCGACAGCCATGACGTTGCCGTGCCATTCATCGTCAAACCTTAATTCGACGCGTACGCATCGTCTAATTTTAACTTGATTGACTAAAGTAACGAGCTGGGGCTCGTAGCGTCTAAGGAGTTTCATTCATGTTTGAAGCGAGCATTTTCTTAAAACTTTAGGATGGTCAATGAATAAAATACGACGGTTAAAACGATAACACGGAACATCCAATACGTCCTAAGGCGACAAATATTCCACTCCTCCTAAAATACACCGAATAATTCCAATCCCAGCATACATATTCATATCGACTACATTCTTCCTCTCGGATTTATATAACCGCGTGCTTCCCTCCTGAGGCAAATTGAAGGTCATGAATAGCACATCCTATTTCTTATCTAATACCCCATCCGACGCGATAGAAATCATTGATCGTCGATTATCCAGGATCAAGGAAACCAGTTTCCCGTGGCCTGGCGTCTTCGCTAACGTACTATCCTACGAGCGAAACATTGGGATCCTGAGAAAGCATGAACCTTTCAAAAACTACTACTAATAGAATCATAATACAAAACACCTGATTTTAGGAGCTTACCAAATATAAAACAATTCTCCTATTTTAAATAAAATCGATCTTAGAAAATTACAAAATCCCGTGTAGTTCCACCAAAAATTTTCAGGACCGTAAAATCAATTCTTTGAAAGTTGACACCGGTGAACTCGTTGACGGAGGGTCGACGCTGGATCCTCGATAGGAAGAACCGAGGTCGTCGAAGGGGAAGGATCTTCCTTATCTATAGTTTACCACCCATCAGTTTTGCCCTCCCTTCTCTCCTTTTCCCGCAACGATCTCGTCCGCGTTCGCGCGCACGCGTTTAATAGCGGCTCGTGTGTGCACCGTGTGGCACACACGGACACGGTCGCGCGTTCACTGGCGATCGTTCGCTCACCGAGAGTAGATACGGAATAGCCGCCGCAGTCGCGGGGACTCGCTGCTGACGGTGAGATCGTGGCCCGTCGCGATCGTGAGTGGTGAACGGTGCCGATCGTGATCGATCGATCGATCCTCGCGGCGGAGGACGCGCGACCGACAGAGCGAGCCCGATACAAGAGGAAACGCCGCCGGTGTGCGGTTAAAGCGGTCGGGGAAAGGGCTCTGTCTCGATTTCCAAGTTCCTTATCGATCGATCGTCCGGTCGATCCGGTGCATCCTGAACGCGCCAGGATCGTCGAGACGCGTGGGAGATCACAGAGACCGCGAGAACGACCGGCGCGATCCTGCGCAGTGACATCGATGCACGATACGCGTGCGTGTCGTCGAAATCGAGAGGATTCGAAGAAAGTAACGAGAGATTTTAATTGGGGGACGCGCGACACCGTGCAGCCAGCAACTCTTTCGCTATCTTGATCGTTGGATTCACGGTTCGCGGGTTCGGCGACGGGTTCGGGTCCCGGAACAGAGTGATTGGGAAATAAAAGTGCAAGGAAAGTGCGACAAGGAACCGGAGTTATTTTACGAGAATTCGGTCCGGGGGCGATGGTTACGAGTTCCGGCGATAGATCCACGTAGCCGCAGCCGACATTGGAAGATCAACGGTAGACCGGGGGAGATGGAGAATCCTTGAGACGTTCAGGTGAGGTTGTTAATTGTTTCGTACATAGTCTAGACAGATGTGTTTCTTCTGTTTCGTTTTAACGGCCTGACGTCGGTGTTTCGATAGCAGACGCGGCACGATCGTGCCACTTTTCTCTCTTTCAACCGTTCAAGGATCCATTCTTCTGGGGCCCCTCTTCGTAGTTTTATACTGTTTTCTTTTCCTTCGACTTCTTCGTGCTCTCCTGCATTTTGCACTTTGGAAACGTTCTACGGTTTATCCTTCTTCATCGCATTCTCTTGCCCTGCCTCTGGAACTCCTTTCCGCTACAAAGTGCTCGAGAAGCTTCGTACCTTGCATCCACAAAGGTTTATTAGTTCCACCGACGTACTGCTGGTTCACCAATCTGGTTTTCGTGGTTGTCGTGGTACTCCGTGCTTCGCGAAAGCCTTCGACACGATTGTTCCGTGAGTTACGTAACCCTGCAACTTTTCTTCGATTCGATTTTTTCAATTGTAATTAACTATCAACGGTGTCTTTGAAATAACTGCCAGGTGTATATGATTTTTTTTTATCCCCGTTGAGTTTCCTAAGTCCACGGTGGAAGATGACCTTTTTGTATACTTTCGCGTTGGCGCAACTTTACGCGATTTACGATTATATCCCTTTAAATCCTCGCCGTTGAGTGCTGACGTTTCTTCTTCACAATGTAACCTTTCCTCAGGAATCTTGGTCGTTTGCAAAATTCACCTTTCTACTTATACCTTTCAATTTGTACTTTCTTTTCTCCCTTATTAGGTGTCATTTCGGTAGGGACCATTCATTTGATCGAATGTAATTGTAATTACAAGTCTCCTTTCGTAATAATTGCAGAAAAGACAGCGCGTTTCGTTGAGATAAGCAGATGGTTAGATAACGACTTCGTCGTCGCTCTATATTAGAATTCAGATCTCTTTGTTATCCTCGTCTCATTGTAAGTCTCGATGACGCTATGCCCCATCACGTTCGAAGCCGAACAAATAAATTTCGAGATGCTTCCGGTGCTGATCCGTTTTCATGAAAATTCAGTGGAACGAGAATATCTTGCTCAAACAAAGAACAGACTTTCGAATTTGATCGTAAGACAAATACAAAGTAACGAGATACGAATTAAAACGAAAGCTGAAAATTTCCTCGACTCAGGCCTCGTGGAACCGCTTCGTTTTAAAATAGGCCTACTTTCAGGAAGAAAACCGATCGTCGAAACGAGCATGCACACGTGCATACGCTCCTCGAATATTGCGTATCGACTTACCCAACGCGTTATTCAACCAGTGCCGTGTGTTAAACGCCGGATTACGATCCAGATCGTGTCTCGACGATCGCGATCATCGCCGGAAAACTGGTCTCAGTCGAATTCGAAGTATCGATAACCGTTGTCGGTCAACGCGCCACGACTCGATGATCGCGATACTTCGAGGAATCGATCGGTGAAGCGCGAACAGTCGATGTTTGCCTCAGCATAACCTCTCTTCGCGAAAGAAGCGTGCAATTAGAGTGGCCTAGAGGGAATATAAGGACACTTCGTTATGCAACGAAGGTTATTCCTATCGTAATGCGTGATTCTCGAGTAACAAACTCGAGTGGAAATGTAAATACCCGTTAGCCTTCTTTTCGCGGACGAACAGTAGGTCTTGGGTAACTTTTTTTATCAGATTCGGCTTTGAAGAATCGCGTTCTAAGCAGAACAGTTTGTAGAGACGTCGTTACATTGTACGAAAGAGCTACAAAGTATCTAGGAATAATTACTAGGCTGAAGACAACAGAGCCTACTGAAAGTTGGATTGCCGCAACGCAGCCTTGGACTCGTTATACTTAGGGGACCACCAAGCTGATTACAGACAACCGTGAACATTTGCACAATTTTTAAAGCGTTCAACGTTCAAAATTTCGTGTGTAGCCGCGTTGAAATATTTTAGTTCTTTTGAAAACGGAATAACGATTTGAGAGTTTCCAGAGCCTCGATCGGGATCAGTTACTTTCACGCGTTGAATATTCCCTCGAAATTAACACCACATTCCACGAGCAATCTTGTCAGATTTGTTATTAGGATCATTAATAATTTCGATTGCCCCGCGCCTCGGGCAACAAAGGGATACTTCGAACCCCGATACGTACGCGCGTGGCAAACACGTGCGAAAACAAGGGTTTTGATTTGTGTTTCGATACACAGATGTTCGTGTTCTCGCGAAAGCTGCAAGGTAGATTAATAGCCCGCCGGGCAGCGCGAACGAAGCAGATTTCGGTTTGCGGTTGCTGGGAATTTCTCGACAGAAATTTGAAAGCTTCTCCCGTCAATTTACGCGTTTTAAATTACTTTGGCAGATTCGTTCGATCGGAAACTTCCACAAACAAACGGTTCGATCAAATACCGAGCATTTTTCGCGACGATCGAAGGTTGCCCAATATCCACACGAATTTCGAAGTAACAGTCGAAATGCGACCTAGACGATTTTCGAAATCGTTCTAACCACGAAATGGACAGGTGGGTCAAGGTGAACGTAGAAGACTCGTAGTCGATTTTGCGTACAAGTAAAATAGAAATGTGTATAAATTAATTAAAAAAAACTCACTAGATCCACCGTAGAGAGCGATTCAGCAGATATTATATAATGAGAAAGGCTCACACGTGCCCTACTTCGTCTTATTTGCGAGTTATGTTATGTATTCAGTCGTATCTGCTTATCAAGAGTGTGATAAAGAAGAGAATAAAATAGATCATACAAAATAACCAGGATTATGCACGTGATAACAAGCTTTACTTGCGAACAGTTCGGTTAAATCAGATATACCGGTTCACCTTGTCGAGAGGAATACCGGACCACAAAATGGTGTAACCTCGAGGATCGCAAGGTCGAATAGTCTTATACCGATCTTACAAAAAAATAGTAAAATTCTGACAAACGAATTATGATCCCAATAATGTACACTAACCGGATTATCTGCTAATTACAAACGTTCGACTACTCGTAACTTGGAAATATCCTAACCAGGCAGAGTATTTGAACGTTAGTTTCGACTAACTTGAGCCATTAGAATATCCTCGAGTCGCTCGAACAACTCTATCTCTTGGGAAACCGAGAACTTCAAACCCGGTACTGGCAATTAAGCCAGGCACTAAAATAATATTCGAACCATTTCGGAGCAAAAGCGAGTCAGTTTCGTAATGAATTATCACGATGAAGTCTCGTTGCCTTTATTATTACACTTTCTCCGACTCAGTTCGGCTCGGTACACGCGTCATAATAGAAATTACCCTCCGAATATTGCCCAATACCAGGATACGTTTCACTGAGCGAACGATTTCATCGACGGTGCTCGTTCGCGTATAAAACCGTATTCCGTTATATTCGCACGTGCGACTATTGCCAGTAATGGGTGTATAATACAGAAAAAAAAAAACGGGGATTGAAACAATGAGTCAACGGCAACAGACGTGCAGCAACCAGCGATTTTCGATGAAAAATCCTGCCAACAGTCTTCGACTCCGCGAACAATCGAAGGACGCGATATTACGTCAGCGGCTCGAAACCTGTTGTCTAACGGTTTTGGATCAAACTCGCGACGACGTAGCGTTCATTACGTCAATGGCCGCGGGGGTGTTAACTCTCGATATCGGGTCAAAAATCATGAAAACACTGAACTACGTCAGCAGCCACGCGTGCGTTGCAAAAAAAAGACAGTAGGAGATTGTAAACGCAATTGCACAGCGACTGATTGAAACGTACGATTGTCCATTTATCGTACGCAACTGTTTCTCAAACAAAGTAGCCGATAACTTACCGTGAGTCAGCCGAACAAGTCGATCTGGCCACTCGTGAGTTCATTAGGATCGACTTATTGCCCCTATCGGTCTCGACTAGTTTCGAGACTCGGAACAGTCGCAGGTGCAGGAGTCGCAACTCGCGAACGCGCGCGCAAATGTCATGCACCAGAGATAAACAGCATAACTGCACGTTCCCACCGCATTTATAGTCACTCGGGAGCGTAACAGCGTTGTCATTCAGAACTCTTCCTTGGAAAAATAAATACACGACCCGAAAATCTATTTAAAGAATTTTTACTCACATTTTAGGAATTTTAACCGCATACGATGCGACTATAAACAATAAACCGCTAGTCTCGATACTCTGACACCTGCAGCTGTGCGAAAGTTGATCAAAACTGGAACCTCTCCTTGTTAACCTTAACCTTACCAGGATGTGACTTAACCCTGACTCTACAGGAATGCAACTCCACGTTCCATATAAAGTTTAAGTCACTCTGGAGTATATAAGTAAACGTCAAAGACGAATATGACAAATACGAATTTTCTATGGCTATGTCGGTTCTTTGCCATTTTCTTTTTATCCTTTCCTTTTGCTCTCGAAGCAAGCCTTTCTCTGCGAGATAATCTGGATTAGTCAGCTAAGTGGAAAATTCACGGAGGAAAATACACTGGTTTTTGGAACCTTCGAAAAGGAGAACAGAGAAATTCTACCTGAATTCCTAATCCGTAAAGAACAAGCGATCGAGCCGTCCGCATTTGGCTTTCACAATCGACACTAACAAGCCTGAAATTCTAATGGACTGTAACAAGAAGATGGCATCAACGCAGCCGAACAAGGTATGCGCTACTTATTCTATTCCTCGTGTAACTAGAAAATGGGCCTGCGTTATATTCAGCAAATAAATACTCACCGATCCCGAAGCCTCGACATCGAACAAAAGGAACGATCTTGTTGGGATACATTTACGCGCGATTGATTCAGCTAATTTCTGGTTTTACCATTGCTGCAACAGGAAATACTGGTAAAAATTACGACACGCGTGTTATCATATCGGCTGAAAGATTATAGAATCCGTTAATGGGCGATGATTTACGGAACCGAAACGCAACCGGAGTTCGCGAATTAATCTGAAATGTTTATTCGCCGATTCGCGAGTAAAATTTTCCCAACACTGATAGCCGTCACGGCGTTGTGTAACTGTACTGTATCGCCGGTGTCGTACTTTCGTAC